TTATTGGAGGATGTACTATAAAAGAAACGGCAATTTCTTAAACATCACATTTCATCCTCTGTATAAAACTATTATTATTATTATTATTATTATTATTATTATTATTATTATTATTATTATTATTATTATGTAAACATTTTCATTCCGAATGTAAAATTTTGTCTTATTTGATTAGTTTTATCATTATGGAATTGTAATATATTTCAGATTCGTACGATACGATATACTTATTGAACATTAGAGTTACTTTGTAAAGTTTTATCGGTTTATTTATTGATTTTATGCTGTACCAGGAACATTATTCATATTTAAGAAATTCTTCTGCCATTTTTAGGCTACATCTAACACTTGGAAGAGTCGAGGCGAGCGCGTGACAGTTGGCAGTGAGTTTTATACACGAAAGGTTTCGCATGACCTTTTCTCATAAGATTGTAATCTCATCGTGTTTAAATATTTTTGCTTTCGAAAAGGCGCAAAACGTTTATAGTTCAACGAGGTAATTTTGTCCATTTATCGCGCTTTCAGCGCATGTTTAGAACACAGTTTGCACGTTGAACTACGTACTTCTACTTTTCATAAGATGGATAGTGTTTGATTAGGAAAGATAATGTTAAACGTCATTTTTTTCACTTTCAACATTATCTTAGACGACCTAGGGAGGTCAATGCAGATTAATATTTTAAAGCAATAGATAATTCACATCGGATTTTTCTCGTGGAGTATAGTAAAAACATAATGTGGATTTAACCGATATAAAATATAAGATACAACTTAGTGTCAAATATTCGTTTCTCATAATAGGTCAGAGCTTTCATATTGTTCACACCTCTGTTGCAATAGTCTCTTTTAAGTTAACATAACTGAATCGCATTAAAAAAAGTTTCAAATGTTATTGAATGTAGAAGAATGTACAAACATAAAATTTACCTGGTGACATAAACAGAAGTTTAAAGATAAAGATAATATTATATTGTTTCCTGTGAAAAGCCCATTAATATTTATTGTTCTTCCCTCTCATTCATTGACAGTTTCCTGCTTTTGACATTCAATTAAGAACGGTATCAGAAATGATTGAAGTGGGACTGTTCATTTAAAAAAAGAAAGGAAATTATTTTTGAATTGCATATATCTATGGTAAACTTTAGATTTATTCCGGTATAATCCCTTCAAATTATATTTGTTAATTCGTACACAGTTTGAGTTTAATACTTCAAAACAATATTTTTATAAATCAACCTACTACAACTACATATCAAAATCAGTTGCTTCCGGGCTTGAAGGCCGTGGTCCAATGGAGACTTGTCATACGGTTCGCCTGCAGCTGTGGGCAGGCAATCCTCAGTGGCGTGGGCGGGGGCGAAGTGTCAGTCAACGCGCGCTGCCCAACAAAGACACGTGTCGCCCCCGCCAGCAACGCCAGCGGAGGATGTCCTGCCACAGGCTGCAGCAAACGTTATGACAAAGCTCCATGACCACGGCCCCTTTTCAACGCCCGGAAGCAAACTGCATTCTTTTGATTATGGGGAAAACCGGGCCCGTTGAAAGCCTCTACATTGTATGTACTACAACTACGTTTTTACTGAATATTACTCGGAGACAAGCTTTAAATATTGTATTTGAAAAAATGCACTTTTGTGTTAATATTATTAAATAAATTTCACAAACGAGATAATTTTTAATTTTGGAAATATTAATAAACGGTTTTAAAACATTTTTTTGTCCCGTATTTTCCCAGAAGAGGCCGGACCCCCCCCCCCGTCCCCCTTCTCAGAGTTGCTGCAGAAAAGAGCGTGAGAAAAGCCCTCGCCTCTTTCTTAGGCACTCCCTGTGTGTGTGTGTGTGTGTGTGTACGTGTGCGTGTGGCAGGTTGTTCGATATTGAACGTCGTGAGGCTTTCTGGAAGGGCGGTGACGCAAATCAAGGCAATATAACGATCTGCGAGCGGGGCAGGGGCAGGGGCGGCGGCGGCGGGGTTCTCGCTTCGCTGCGTCCTGAAATCACGCGCGTCCGCCCCTTAATGCGCGTTCTGTTTTCGTATTTCGGAGAACTGCGGCTGACCCTGTCGCACAAAGCTTCAACGGCGCGATTGCGTGCTTGCGTTCGCTGGGCGGTTCCAACGTGGTGAGACATGCTGGCGGGTTCAAAGCTCAAACATCGGACAGAAGTGTTTTATTCTCCTTTTTCTTTATTTCGTCAACCTTTGGCTTCTTATCCTTCTTATGAACGTATTTGTGTTTATTATTTTCTTATAGTTTTGTATTGTTGTTTTTTCGGTGCAATTTTCTACATTACTGCGCCGTTTTTAAAACCGTCCTTTGTTCTTACCCTTCGAATGATCGCGTGAGCGTTATTAATGCCGCCTTTGAAAATAAAACAGCCCTGCACCTTAATGTTTCAATTTAGCGTGACGGGAAACCACGAGCTCCCTCTTTATCTATTGATACACAAGATAGCGGCAACACCTTCAGCAAGATCTCCTCACGCTTGTGCCAAATTTGTTGACCAACGTCATCAGTCTTCGCTCTACGCGGCATAAACACCACAACGCGATCGCGCCTGTTCCAGTTGTTTTGTTTTTCTCAAGTGTGATGAATAAGTGAATATATTTTTCATATATTTTTGTGATACAAAAATCGTAATATTACTCTTATGCTAATTATTGTGTAAATTAATTGAATTTGTTATACATTACGTGAAATTTATAGATTTCTATGGATTTTCTAGTTTCCTAACACTTACTATTCTCGCGTTATTATAACATATTTAGCTGCCTACACATTCTCTCTTCACATCTTCACCTTTTCATCTTGCTTATTAAATTTTTACGTTCCTACTTCATTAGATTTTAATATAAATTTGTATTACGTCATTATTATGTTGTATGTATTGATGATCAGTATTTTGCGAATCCAAAGTAGAAGACGGATTTTGCAGATTATCTCCTTCAGAAATATTTTTCTGCTGAATAGTTAAAATACTAGTTTCAATAAATTTTTTATCTATTACAATGTCTACTTGATTATATTTAATAAATTTCCCATGGCTGACGATCAAGACAAACTGTAATGTTGAGAAAAAGAAAGGATGTTCGTCGGCGGCAAAAATAACACCCCGCGATCGCGCATGTGACACTAAATCGGATTAGCACCCGAAGGTAAAAAACTATTTACACAAAAAAGTCGGAGCAGTTTTCGAAAAAAATGTCTCTCTTGAGAATATAGATTTGGAGAAAAACGTCTAAATGGTTTTGCATGGACCATTGATGGACTTTTTCCGTAAATTAATTTTTCGGTACAAGGACCCTCAAAACGTGAGTTATAACTACCCAAGGGTTTGAAAGAAATTGTTTACTGGACACCTGAACAAGAATTATCCACTTTCTTTATATCAGGCCCTCACAGTACGAGTTTTCTTGAGGAAAAAGCGTTACTATCCCCAATATAATTAGAATACTTTCTCATTTATGTTGTACGAAGTAGGTGAGAAAGCAACTAGTGATGCTACAGAGTGGTACAGACCTTCTTGTAATAGTTAGTTTAATAATTTATTTGGTCTGGGATAGCTTTTCTGTCTTTCCCATATTCTTGCTAGCTGCCATCTTTCGACATACAAATTTCATTTTATTAACACTTTCTCAGTTTTTTCGGTTTCCTAATGGACTGAAATAGGACTGAATTATTGCTTTAAAAATATTACAGAAGAGTAAAATCTCTTATTAAATTAACATTTTCGTTCAAAAATTTGGAGACGTTTTTAAGAAAGTGTCGTTTAAGCATTACTGAAAATGTGAAATTTGAAGCTCTTTTTCATGGAAAACTTTTGAGTTTCGAAAAACTTCATTTGAAGTAATTTAAAGAAATGTATCTTTCAAATGCAATACTGTACACAAACTGCTGGAAATGCGCATATTTATGACGTGAGAGATATTTAAAAAATACATTTGAATTTTTTTAAACCAAAATAATACAGCAAAATGTCTGTCATCTTAAACAGTGCAATTAGCAATATACGATCAAAACGTTTGAACAAAAATTTGGAGTCGTTTATGAGAAAATGTCATTTGACCGTTTCTGAAAATACGGAAATTTGAGATCATTTTCACTGGAAAATTTTAATTTTTCGAGAAACATTACATGACATCACTTAAAGCACATGCACTCATAAATGCAAAAATATGAGTAAATCACCGCTAATGTAAATATTAAGAACGTGAGAGACAAGTCAAAAAAGAAATGTTGGCAAACGAATAGAGCAATATGACGTGTATGTGATCTTATGTATATACAAGTCTTATGAATTTAGCACAATCTCTCTCTCATAAATTGTTAAAAGAATTTGGAGCCGTTTTTGAGAAATTCTTATTTTGATATTTTTTATATTACACACATTTCACGCAATATTTTACCATTAAATTTTCAAAGTGATAAACTACTAAAATTTTCAAAAAATGTACATGGCATTAATAAAGCCATCAAAATTTCAACATTTTACTATTTTCGAAAATTCAGAGTGAACAGTGAAAACCGGTCTTATACCACCTTTATATATGTGTTTTACTCTATTCTTACAAAAAATTAAACGAACAAATGGTGCCATTTTTTAGAAAAAACTTTGAAAGTGCCCCAGGGACTTCATGTAAAGTACCCCCCAAAATTAATATTTTTTTTTCAAATTCGCAGAGCTTAGTATGAGGCCAGATTGATAGGGGTTCATTCAGTTTGGAAAAAGTGTCTATGTAAGCGCTATTGTAGTTCAGACGGACGGACGTTTAAAAAATCACTTTTGGATCGTGGAGTGATTTTTGTATAATTAATTTAATTTTTTTCTGATGCCAAGCGTTGCTTGCTTGCACGATGCCAAGCGTTGCTTGCTTGCACGATGCCAAGCGTTGCTTGCTTGCACGATGCCAAGCGTTGCAAGTCTGAAGCGTAGCGTATCGTCGCTAGCACGTTACGTTAAGAGTTCACGTCCCATTGTGTACGTGGGTCCAAATGATCCAGGTGCACGACTCTGAGTGGGTGTCGTGGCGCGTGGTGGCGCTGGTGTGCTTCCTGCTGGCCATCCTGCTCAACACCTACTACTCCGCGTCCATGGTGACGGCGCTGCTGCTGCCGCCGCCGCGCACCGTGCACGGCCTGGACGACGTGCTGCGCGCGGGCTTCGCGGCCGGGGCGCTGCGTGACCCCCACGGCGGGGGCAGGGGCGGCGCGGTCCCCGGGCCCGCCGCCCGCGCGCTAAGGGACACGTCCGACCCGCTGCTGGAGCAGCTCGCTGCGCGCGTCGACAAGGTACTCAAGCGCCAGCAGCAGAGCCTTTGAACGAGGGTTCTCTAACTCCTAATCGATTGTTGCCCGTTAAACGTTATCAGCAGGGGAGAATTTTGATGACCTAAAACATATCCAAAATCTAATATTAGAATTTTTTTGTTTGTCGTTTGTTCTTAATCCGGGAAGAATATAAGTACAGTACAATGTGGATGAGCATATGCCAGAGAGCGAGATTCTTTCGTGTATTGAAGTTTTTGCAGAGGGTAGCGTAAAACGTTACAATAACGTAACCAGTAGCAAGTGATGTAATACATAACTTTTAGGCTGTCAAAATACTCTTAAAATGTTTTTAAAATGCCCTAAAAGCAAATAAACATTACGTGCAAAATGTGATCAAAACCAAGTCGATTGGAACAACTCAAGCTGTTGTAATCTAGCTTCTTCTATTCTTTCAAGTGAACATAACGTTCAAACTTTTGGTTTGAACGGTTCTTTATCAGAAATCTCCATCTTTAGATAACCCGAAATAGGATGAAGCGATAATGCCGCCGATAGGCGTCACAGGAATCTTCGATTACGTATTCACAGTGGCTGACAATATCATTTCTGAACGAAGAAATCGAATAGGCAACTCGAAAATTGAATGGAGGACATTTGTTGCCTCTCTTAAATATTACTTGAAGCAAGTTGTATCATTAAAATAATATTACATTCGATAAAATTAGAGAAAATGCTTTGAAAATTACGGGAAAATATAAAAAATAACTTATTAGTCGAAATCAACAAAAATGCAAAGAAATGACATAAAATGGTTCATATCCTTTTATGATGGCATACAATTAATTTTCCTACACTAACTGGCATTGTTCTGATGTGCAAAGAAAAGAAATAGCAATTCATTAGAATCCGCCCCCTAGTTATTAGTAATGAGTCCCTTTCATTCGTGTCAAGGGAGAATACCGTGCGTGTAGTGCACACGCTCTGTCGGGGTCAACACCCTTTTTATCGCAAAAACAGGTAAAGTTAAGATTTAACAAATGTTTTTCTAGAAAAGTCTCAAATTCAAAATCGTCCCAATACGTTTTACAGCGTTCGGCCCTGATATCACACATGGTTCCACCCCTCTACTCTCACTACTGCTTCAGAGCAGCCGGGCGAGTGCAGAGATTAGTAATAAAATAGTGAAAATATGGACCGCAACCATTTTGAAGGTTTTAGTTGTAGCCCTTGAGGCCTTGCAAGTTGGACGCCCTTGATTTCAACGATGTCTATGAAATACAGAAAAAGGTATATGCAAGTGTGGTACACATCTCCAAAGAATAGTACACATAATTCCACGGCATGTTCTTTGGCTAAGATTCGTATACAAGGGGTTACCAAAAGCTAAAGTTACAAGATCGATATTCCATGCGTTGCATCTACTACAGACACTTTATATTGGGCGGTAATTGTAATAGCGACTTTGGCAACTGTGCAGAGTTTCAGCCGCCAGCCATCTAGTTGTAAATGAAAAAATAGTCTTTTTTTTCATTTTCGAGCATGCATAGTAGGTATTTTTTCTTTCATTTGTTATTTTGTTATAACAATTTTTTGTAAAGCATTGCTTACGTAGTAAATAGTTTCAAAGGTATTTGAAGTGAAAGTTAAACCAAGCAAAAGTCATACCAGAAAAAAAATTTGTTTTCAATATTTTTCGAAGATAATATGAACTACCTACATCTCTACCCCCTTAAGATTTGGAAGTCTCCCCAACTTGTTTTGTTCGAGCCGTGTGTTACTCATGCCTGTGCACCACTTAAAACCTTCCACAAAGGTATTCAAAAAAGGCAAATTTGAATCAAAAGAAAGCATTTTATAGAACAATTTTAAGCATTTAAAGTTAGATTAAAATAATTTCTCTGGAGAAAATGAGTTCCGACGAAAAAAATTACGGCGTCTATCTAAAAAAAATGTCGGGGAGTGGTGAGTGTTGTGATCAAATTAGAAATCACAATTTGGTATAAAGGCGGTTTAATTTGTACCAGCCACAATTTAAAATCGTACTAACAAACTTCGACCATTTTCCGTGAATCCGAGAGGTATACGAAGACTAGCCTAATGGCCGTACGCCCAGTAGATGTCCAATAAGCACCGCAGTTCCTTAGTGCGCCAGAGAAATAATAATTTCGTCGAACTGTTGGTCAACACTAAACACTTCACATTTAACTCCTCTCAGCTCGATTCTATCACTCTCCGTAAAACACACACTCCCTTCTCGGCTGCGACGCCTCTCCTTTGGAGAGCAATAAGGGTCAAATACACACACGGGATTTAGGATCAGTAATTATTCCACAAATGTGAAATTCCACAAATGTGAAATTCCAGAAATGAACGAAATTTATCGAAATTTATCGGTCGACTTAAAACGTATATGCGATCCACTATGTTGCAAGATAGGCTCAACAGTATTGCCTTTTTACACGTTTATAGCGACATAAGTGACAAAATTGCCGGGCGGTGTCAAGCTAATACTTGAATTGACTTGATAATTTTGCATGAATTGATAGATACTTTTACTAACTATTTGAAACACAAGTCAGGTCATTCACAGAAATTTCCCAACATGTTTTATACATTTTTATTGTAAAGGCTGTCGCAAAAGCATGTTTAAGAAATTACACGAAGTGATTTTGCCTGTTGCACAATGAGAAGAAAATTTCAAGAACCTATTAGATAACTATTTAACATTATTAAATATTGTTCTAAACATTTTTATGAAGAAAATGGATCATATGCAAAATTATTTCACACAGAACTTCACAAGGGCCTGATCGACAGCCTGTTTTCAAGCACGAATTTTTACCCTTAAAAATTCAATTTAAATGTGATGAGCATCAACGGGAATGACGGATTGGATGCGATGCAGGAGTGGGCGCTGTCACCCGAGGCGTTGGCGGCGCGCGTGGGCGGCGGCTACTTCGCGGCGGTGGGCGACGTGGCGTCGCTGTTCCCCGCGTTGGAGCGCGCGTTGCCGCCGCAGGCCAAGTGCGCGCTTACGCGCCTCGCGCCGCTGCCCCGCACGCACGCCCTGCTCGCCGCGCCCAGGGGCTCCCCGCTCAGGGAGATGCTCGCCTACGGGTGCGTACCGCCAAGAGCCTCGCTCGCTCAAGCGCTGGCTCAAACGCTGGCTGGCACTCGCTCGCTCACTCGCAAGGAGTAGCGCCGAATTCTACTCTTATTCGCACTTGCAGAAGTATTTGGCGTGTACACTTCCCTTTCCCATTCAGCTCACTCTTGACCTTTATTTGCACTGGCCCTTCCCTCGTGCTCTAGCCCTCTCCATTTCCCTCCCTCTCTCGCCTTTGCTTCCATGTTACCCTCACCCGCTCTCGTCCTATTAATAACAATGCGACCCACTTATCTACATTGATAAAATTAAAGTGTCTCTAGGATTTCAGATGAATTGTTTAATTGTAAGCTCTTGTTCATCTACGTGATTTAGTACACATGCAATTGTTTTTACAATATTTGTCAGTCTCTTCGAACGAATCACGAACACGGCAACTTATGAAGGACCCAGGTGTAGTATTTTGTGGTCAAATTTTGGCTTAATTTTTTAATCATTATTGCATTGTAAGTAAATCTCCAGTTTTATTCTAATGAAATGCAGCGAAAATTAAAGAAAAAACTATTTTCGTAAAGAGATTTCGTAAAAACTCTCTTTATTTCTTTTTCCCATTCCTTAAAACTGAATTCAGAGAGCTCTTAGAGTTTTTCAAGAATATGGAACATGAGGAAATTCCCGAACACGGATCCAATGTTTCTAAAAGCACAACAAATGCGTTTTATTCATTGCGGTAGCGCGGTTAGTCTGAGTAATTAAAATTAAAGTTGAAAGTTACAATTGAAAATTACTTCCCTCGCAGAAAGCCAAGCAGGGAGAATGAAGATGGCTGGAGGGGGTAGGGCGGGTGGAACGCGACGTTCATTCCTTTGCCTAATGAATGTAGGTGATATACAAATGCCTGGGCGACTGCAGGTTACTGCGGCTCTATATCTGATGAGGCTGGATGAAAGCAGTTGCGTAACAAAGTATTTTAACTAACATCATATATTCTAATTGAAAATGTAAAATTCCCTCCCCTTCGCAAGACACTTTGAATAATAGTGTGTCCTGCTTTAATAACACAGTGTTGTAAACCGTACGTGATGGGCGAAGTTCGCTTGCTTTCACTCTTAACATGAAACGAGCACATAATTCCTTAATGAGTGAGGGCTGGATTCTAATCTTTATGAGCGCAACGTACTATTAACTCCAGATAACAATTGCATGATGGAGCTGTTTGCTTGATTACATTCGAATAACGCACGCAAGATTACTAATATACAAAACTTACTAAATACAGAAGAGTCTAAAGCATGAATGAGGCAAGTGATACAAATGAACTATACTTCTGTGATATATTTATAAGTCAATTCAAAACGAGATTTAAACTATGCCTTTTTCCCCATAATCTTCAATTTAGAAATAGGTCAATTACATTATTTAATTTTTGACGTCTGCAGTATCTGTCTTCCTGATTTAGGACCATTCTCTCCACATCCCCAATGCTCCTCTCCACAATCAACTGTAATTCATTCATTCCATGGTGGTTACTATTTACTACCCATGGTTTTTCCGCTCCATAGTCTATGTCTGCCCCATTACATTCCATAGACTTTAGCAATTGTAGTTGCGCCGTCCCCTTTTCATTCCATCGCCCATCTCCTTCCATATCTTAACATCCACAACATCTGATCCACCCTGCACGTCGACTGACCCGTTGTTGAATGACGTTGAATTACTGATTGGTTGTGTGACGTGCTTCCTCTCGCATCACCCCACCATCTCCTGGGCACAAGGGGGCCAAACCTCCAGAATTGGAAACAGAATTACCATTTATGTAGTTTCTTAACCCCGTTTCTAACTCGAAGTACGTGAACTATGGAATCTGGATTTACGTCTGAAAGTGACTGATTTGGACCTCCCACTCTCTTTCATGGAAAACTTGGTTTGGATACATTTAAGCACAAGCTTTCAGGTGCACAAGGTTTCAGTTAGCCAGGTGGGGATATCCCGAGGTCGGTACGAATCTCTCGTCAATTTCCTCTGAGTCACGATTATCTGCTGGGCTCAAATTAGAACCCAACAGCAAAACCGCTCGGACAACAACCCGCCGGAGCTCTGCTGCCCACTGCATTTCCCTAGGGCGCCAACGACGTGGGTATCGCATGAGTATCTCAGGAAGCCTTTGGCACTAGCGACGTGAGTGCCGCCGAGAAACTTGGGTCCGTGTGGTCATTTCCAGTAATCAAGAACCTCAGACCCTCAGGCCGTCAATTGCCTCTTGCGGGTGTGTGAGGAGTGAGAATGCGGCTTCTGTGGTGTTTGCGTATCAAACTGTTATACCCACGTTTGCGCATTCAAACCCGATCAAAGCCGCGGATTTTAAAAGGCGAAAATCCTCCGTATGACTTCCTTTGGAGAGGAAGCCGACTGCCCCGAGTGAAAGATCCTCAAGCCTAAATGAAGCCACTGAGATAAATTTAAATCGCGTGTTTCGAAGGCCGAGTGATAACTTCTTTCTCCGGTAGATACTGAAAGATTCGTAGTGAAATTTGCGTGATAATTCGCTTTATATTATACAGCAAGCTCGGTGCACTGAGTGTCGCCACGTAAAATAAGCCATAACTGAACTGAACTGAATTGTGTTGTGTGCGTGTCGTGTGTGTGTGTGTGTGTGTGTGGCGAGTGGTGTCTTGAATGTGCGTGGGCTACCACCCCCACACAATTCCTTGTTCTACCAGTGAGCGTGAACCTCGAGGTGGGCATCTAAGTTTTCCGCTTTTATTCTCACCCCCCGCCGACGCAGAGGTACGCAGACAGGCTGGTATCCGGATCCTCGCAGATTGTCTTCACGACGACCTCCCCATACAATGTCCGGAGTCCAAATAATTCACTGCTCACAAGCGCCGGAAACAAGCCCCTCCTCTTTGTCTAGAGCGTCGGGCCACTGCCACGACGAAGCCGAGAGCCTAAACAGGGGGGGGGGCGACCCGAACTGAGGTCCGGGCGGCTCGGGAACTCCCCGTCCCGACTTCCTCACTGCCACACTTTGCAGGCTATTGCACGTGAGTGCCGCCAGAACCAGGCAACCAACGGGGGAGGGGCGTCACCGTCTTGGACTTCTATTAGTGAGCTCTGGAACATTCATAATAAAAGACCTTCACCCGCGATCCAGGTCTAATGTTCGGCGCCAGGAGCCCGACTGGTGGGTTACCCGGCAACCCGAGGTTTAGCATGCGCGCACTCACTGCCTCCACCTTAAAGCTAACGAATGTGAGTGCACCGCTGGAAACTAAGGACCCAACTCTCTCCACCGGCGATCGCGCCCGGCCTTCGCGTCACGATTCCCTCCTACGGCATGGGGGGAGGGTAGCGGTGTGCGCGACGTGTGTTGCGAGGCAGGGCGCGGCTGGCGTGGGAGCGCGGGCTGGCGCGGCGGCTGGAGCAGGCGCTGCGCCCGCCGCCGCCCTTCTGCACGGCGGTGGGGTCGCTGTGGAGCGCCACGCTGGGCGCCACCGCGCCGGCCTTCTTCCTGCTGCTGGCCGGCACGCTCGCCGCCGCCCTGCTGCTGCTCGCCGAGCGACACTGCTCACGCAGGTGCGACCCCGCTATTTGGGCGGAAACGGAAAGTTAGGGAATGCTGCAGGAAAAAGTGTCTATTTTTTTAAATTGAGAAATACGTTTTGTGGGACACCGTTGAATAATACGTAGGAATAATTCTGTTATTAGGCAGTTTCATACGCCTCGAACACTTCGTATTGCCAAAATTAACTTTCTTTGATTATTCCACTAATTAAATTAACACCAATAGCGTTTATTAATACGTACGGTACACACAACCTGGGCGATCTATACAAAAACCATTAGTTTCTCTATCCTATTTTATTACTATTTCTCTCCATCGACCGATCATTAAACACGGATTCATAAGTTAATGTGCGCACGGAAATGTGCGAGTTATGTTACTAATAAATTAATGTAAAGCGGCTTTTGTAACTTTCCTGAAGGTAATTTCTCTCGAGGAATAGTATTATTAAATACGAGCCAAGCTTTGCAATACTTTTAGTTATGCGTTAAGTTAAAATGGCCGCTTTGCGACTCAGATATTTTCAATGAACACGTGGTATTAACTACGACTATTCGACTCGTGAAATTAAAATTAATAGTTTTTAAATATACCTACAAAATGCCCCAATCAGGGCGGTATATCTCAAAAAGTGTATAGATTTTTCTATCCGATTTTTCTTACCGCTTCTACCTACTAGCCAATCAACTGTGACTCATCTATCTTAAGAGTCGTTATACGTCGATCGCTAAGTCGATGTCCAACAAATAGCGTATGTATTACAACATTACCTCTTATTTTAATATACGCTTTCAATTCTTTTCAATATTTGGTGCATTTTGGACTCTATTGGACATCATTTCACTCGAGGAATAGTCCTATTAAATACCATTCGTACTTTGGAAATTCTCAGATAAATCCCCTCCTTGCTTTGAGAGTCTGGAATTTATCGACAATTTCCCTCGTGGGGTTACCTATGATAACTTTAAAATGGCGGCGATTTCCATATACCATTTCGCAGAAATTACACCGAAATGTAAATTAGAACCCTCTATCTCGTGGGTTAGTAAATACTTTTGAACAATACCCACGCGCCCTGCACTTTCCGCGCACGATTTCGATGGCTTCTTTTCCGAAGATGCTAAAGTGGGAGGGTTGGTATTTTTTTTTAAAAAAATTGTCTCTGCGTTTTTTGAAAAACATTTTATTAGCCCTTTACTGGCGTCGATCGGAACTGTCAGGGGCTTGGCGCCCTTAGATCTCAACGGTTCCCAGATGGTCACTCATCCAGCAACCCACAATGTCTTGAGATAACCCCCGCGACCTCACGGACCGTTGCTAAGTTAATATGCTAGAGACGCCGGTGGCAGGACTCTTACATGAAATTTTGACACAAAATTTCGGTGGTAGGTCGATTACATCAAATCTATAGCTCGTTTTTCAATGCAAAGTGATTTGTATTACTGAGAAGCGTGCATTTCTGGTTATCTGATTTTGTCAACAATGCTTGTTGCTATCTTTTAAAGAGATAAAGATATATCTTGTACGCTTAATTCAACTAATTTTGGTAAAACATTAAGGTTAGGGATTTCGGGACTGAAGAAACTTAACTAGTATTGAACGTAGCACAATCGCATGCGCGGATCTACGGGGAGAGAAATGAGGGGAAATTAGGAAATTTCCACTCCCAAAATTTTCAAGTATTTGTTAATTTTAACTTGTAACGAAACTTTGAAGCAAAAATATTTTCGTATAAACATTAAAACGAATTCAATCGAACATAACGCTGAATTTAGCCTACGTCATTCCACATAATCTGTAAGATAACACATTTGAATCAAAAAGTGTCCCCTCCCAAAATGTGTCTCTCCTTGACTATCAGCACTCGGGTATTTTGAACACCGTCGCCATCCCTAACCGCTTCGCGCCGCTGGGCCGCGCCAGCGGGGACCGTTGCAGGTCGCCTTGGCGGCGGTGGCCGCGTCCGCATGCGGCGGCGGGCGGCGCCCCTCCGCGCACCTGGCGAGTGCAGCCGGCGGCGGCGGCGACACGTCGCTCGCACGTGCACCACGCGCCCGCGCGGGCGGCGGCGGTGGCGGTGGCGGCGGTAGAACCCGTCGTCCAGCAGCTGCCGCCTTCGGGCCGCCCGCGGCCGCCGCCGTCACCGCCGCGGGACGCCGCTGCCCAACGCCCGCGCCGAAGACGGCCCAGCGGCGCCGCCAAGCAGAAGCTCTTTTTCTTGGCCTGAGGTGGCAGCCATGAGCGTACCCCAATGTGTTTGTAATGTTCAGTCATGGGAGGACTTTTTTTTACAACAGGATTGTCCAACTGGCGGTCTGTGGTGCCATTTATTGTGAAAGCTTATTAGTCCTAAAGTTAGTTTCTGGCATCCATGCCGGGTGAGAATATTGAAAGCCTAGCGCCGGAACCCTGCTGGGGTTAACACCCCTTAATGTCAAAAACATATTAAGTTTAGATTAAAGGATTTTTTCTAGTAAATTTAGAAATGCACAATCATCCCAATGTGTTTCACTGCGTTATGCAGGGTAAGACTTGATATCACGCCTGGTTCCATTCTCCCTCCCCTCCCCTCCTCTCCTCTCTCCTCCCCTCCCCCGTTTTAGCAGCCGGGTAAACTGCCGAGATCAACAAAACACACAAATCAGATGTGGATCGCTCGAGCGATGGAAATATGGCCGGCCGACATATTAAAGATTGTAATTGTTAGATGCCCCTGTTTTATAATCTTGATGCCAGACTAAATGGGAGGGTGTCAAGACACGTAAGAATGATTCGTATTCATTTCAGAAACGTCGTATAACTTGCAGGACGAACTTGCAGGACGCAGAAACGTCGTAGACTAAAACAAGAGGGAGGGACGAACTCCATTTCTCCCTTTTCCCTTGAACTATATATTTCACATTTTACAAAAAAAATAATTAAATATACTACAAGAAGAATGAAATGATAATATTCATGACAAAATTAATAAATACAATTCATTTTATAGTGAACCAATTACAGAAATTCTTTGTCTTTGAGAGCTTGAGCCTCTTCCCCAAATACGAACAATTCTCCATAGTGTCAGGTTGAAAAGAGGAAAATCCTGAATTGAATGTATTTATGAAAATAAAATGGTTTATTACATAACACTACGAGCCCTGTTTCAAACTGTTTCTGCCTCCCCGTCTAGTGCGTTTGCCACTGCTACCTTGGCTTGGAGCTGTTGTACCGCCTATTATTTTTGTCATATTGTCAACTGGAAAAATGTTTGTGTGAAATCAATGTATTTATCATGAATGTGTCAAAGTATGTGACTAGAATACAAGAAAACTGCACTTCAAAATTTCCATTTTAAATTTTATTTACATGCATTTTTTTACTTAAATGTAATCTAAAGCGAGTTTAATTAAAACTGTAATGAACGTAGACAATGCGGGCTCTTTGATATTTGCTATTTATGACACGTCCATTTATGTCCGTTTGATGTCTTGATTCACATGCATGCTTTTCGACATAATTTGTATCAATTCTCACAACATTCTTTGTAGCGACAATATCGAAATAATGTACATCCTCGTGAAAACTATTCTTAATATCTAACTCCACTCACTGTACTGACGTTTTGAACATTAACAGGTGAGCACTAACATCAACATTTTGAGCATTAACATTAACAATTGTTTCTATACAATAATAAAATATACCGATCATTCAAAAGGGAAGTAATATTAATTTTAACAGTCACATTTAATGTATTATTTACCATTTGGATTGTATAATTCTAAAGAACCTGTAACAAATATTGTACTTCAGCTTCTGGGTCAATGATCCCCAACTCGATCAGGTTTTCGTGCAGTTTCCCTGATTTTTTGAGCAAATGCTGAGATGGCCCTTGGTTTTGCTTCTGGACATACATTTTCCTTCAAATTAACTTCTCCCCATAGCACATTACACGCAGTTTTTAATTGTTTTTTACGTAAATAAATAAATGGCAGTCGGTTCCTGTCTGGCGGGAGAATCCACGAAGCAGAACGAGGCGGTTTTCGATAATGTACAACAGTTTTTCATTCTGACAAAGTATTTTCTCGCCTGAACAAAACAGTTATTGGGTATATTGAAGATAATTACCTGGTTGTTTATGTCCGGGCTCCCGAAAAGACGTCATTTATGGACACGAATCACGTAATGAATGTACGCACCTCACAGACTCGGTTTTAATACATACATAACATTACCAGAAAATTAATGTGTAATATGGTATAATGTTAGTAAATAAAGATGGTTTGAAGATTCATAAATAGCACGGCACATCCTAATTCCCATTATTTCTCGTGGAGCACATATTGTTTCTTTACGTGATGAAATCGCATGAGAAAGTGTCGAAGTCATTTACATGAAAACCAATTAGAATCGAACTAATGAAGGAACTAATTGTCATCATTGACGAGTTCACGGAGAGTTTTTGTTTTGTTGCCTGCAGTAGCCGTCTCAGGTTTTCCCGATCTCAGGTTTTTCGTCGTTTCCCTGATGCTTTGAGAGATTGTTGAGGTGGCCCCTCGTTTTGCTTCTGGTCTTAAATGTAACTTAATTATCTGTGCACGCCTACTGAAGTCCAGTGGGGATAGTTATTCAAATTAACGTTATCCATGTTCTCGACGCAGTGAGTCGATTCCTTCACGAAGGGCTCATTGGAGGAATAAGAGCCAAAATCTCTAGCTTTTCCCCCTTTGCGTATAGTTTATTTCACGGGAGCTAATATTTTTGTCGATTCCCCCCCCCCCAAACTCGCAATTCCACATGTATTCATAATTCAACTTGTATGTAGGTTGGAGTAGAGATCTCAGAATTTAAGAAAACCTACACAGAATACGAATCTTCCCATAGTACGGACATCACGCACTGTTTTTAACTTTTTTGGCGCTAAATACATTTGTGAAGGGCATCAATACACACCTCCCCGTCTGTCTTTCAGGCTTCATTTTTCAAAAATAAATTCTCCGAGTGCTTCGCAGCAGAAACCCGAAAAGTCTCCCTTATGAGCGTAAAGTACATCATTGCAACCGCTGGGGTAGACTTTCTCCGCGTTTCAAAACGCTGTGTTTCGTCACCGACCAAGTGTTCTGATTGTAGTATTTAGGGCTATCAAACACAATGCAGAGTAGCGAGCGATGTGGGAAAATTGTAAAGTAGCGTAGCGACATGAAGGAGCAATGTTGCGAACAACGGAGTAGTAAGTAATAACCGATTGCATGCGTTAGTAGTTGCTACATTCTTTAGAAGAGTTAAAGCACAGTTTGTATCGCTGATGTTAAAGGATATTATACGTACAATGTTCACAATTAGATTGACTTACTGTGTTTATTCTTTTTCGTTCATAAACTAAGTTAATACAAGTCAGGAGTTTTTTTTATTTATTTTCTCCTCAGTCCCGAATATTGTTCGGATTATCCGTAATTTCGGGTTTGCGGGGTTCGGATTAGTGAGCGTCTACTGTAATCGGAAGTACGGTATGTTAGCCACACAGTTCTCACCATGAAAATTCTCAATCTTGTCCAACTCTTGTACGACTCTTGTACTCTCGAATCTATCGAGAAAGAACTCTTGAAATCCTTTGGAGAGAAAGATGAAACCGGGAGAGGTGGCTCATGTAATCCAACTGATGCCACTGCAGTGCCTCTGGCCTATTTCGAGTCCCGACGGTAGCAGGATTTTTGACACTAACTACACGTTGGGTATAGATCAGCCGCTGTCTGGAGGAGAATTCTATCGGCCGACTACTCTGATTGATAGTTTTACGTGGTTTCTCCGATCAATACCAGGCGAATGCCGGAGCAATACCCTAACGGGCCACGGACCCTGAGCGATCTTCCTCTTCCATTGCTTGACCTATCGTTCCCTTTACACACACACACACACACACACACTTACATGCTCTACATTACCACACACACCGGGAGACCGGTCAGGAGCGTTGAGCTTGTCCCTGCTGGTGCGGTGCCCCGCTGATGGGAGATGCTTGGTTGAAGAAAAAAACGCTAGCCGACGGAGCCAGATCTCACCATCCAGCGGGGGAAGATCACCACCACCACCACCACCACCACCACCACCACAACAACAACAACGACAAAACATGCACTACACTTACGGGACTATTTATTTTTTAGTCGTTGTTGCGCCCGGAATCACTAATCAACCAACCATCCAACCAAATAAAAGTGAATTCTAAGGGTCATTCAAATATACAATAGGATGGCTCCAGTCTCTATATTATATATTTACTCGAAATAAGGTAGGGTGTTTAGAGGAAGTAGACCTGTTAATCTTATAAATTTATGAAAGCCTAGATCGTGGTAACATGACAGCTTCCAAACGTAGCGCTTTGTTTTAGAAGAGAACTTTTATCTTGTTGTGAATTTAAATAATTTAGAATCAATTTATGTGCATGGCACATTGTTTGGGTAACATTCTCATGCGTTCTTTTATTCTTTAGCAGGTGCATTTGAAAGTTTCGCACTTTGTAGTTTGTCTGGCAGTGCCGTCGCAAAGGGCTCCAAAGCGTCGGAGAGGGCTCCCAGCATTGATTAGTTGAGTTACCGCGAGGTGAGAGAAATCCCAGCTGCAGCACGTAGGCGTGGGTAAGCATTTTCCAATAATATGACACTCGGCCTATATTTTACACAGTGATAGGCCAGCGTCTCGTCTCGTTCGGACCGACAGTTCGGATCGTGGATGTTTAGATCCAGCGCTCGTTACGTCCCGCGATATAACATCCTTTCAATGCGGGAAATGCTGGCTGAGATTGCCCTGTTGACTATAGGCCCATTTTGAATTGTTTGCCTGGAATGGGCACGCTTTGTTGAAGAACACGTAATAATTACAATAAATAGTAACCGAATTCCAAACGAATGTTAAAAGGATTTTTCTATTTCACATTTATCAGATTGAAATAATTTTAGTTTCGCCGCCAAATTAAAACTTTCTAAAGCAATTTTAATATCAATATTACTTAAAAGAGATGAGATTTATTGAAATACATGAAAATGAGCATAGTTTTGATAATTTAATATACATCACAGCACGATATTGTGCGTACATTTTAACACACATACACACTAATATATATATATATAACCGTACGACCCCCCCCCCCGTCGCTACAGATAATATAGCTCCGAACACTGGACAAATCTAGCTATGACTACAAATTCCTACCCGGTGCAATCCAGGCTCGATAGCCTCGCTCAC